TTTCTTAGACATTGCAGGGTACCTGCACACCTGGATTCCTAATTTTGCCCTCTTGCTCTATGAAGCCTCTAAAGGAAACTCCCCTGAGCCTGTTGGCCCCTTAGGGCCTGTTACAGCATTCCACACTATCCAGGAAGCACTCTTAAAGGCACTGGCTTTACCTCTCCCAACCTCAAATGTCCATTCCTCTTCTATACAATGAAAATACGGACCAGACATTAGGGGTTTTGGGACAGATGAGGGGGTCCCACTTTTGCCCCAGTAGGTTATCTTTAAACAGCGTGATACCACCATCCAGGACTGGCAACCTTGCCTCTGTGCTCTGGCCACTATCGCTCTCCTGGCTCCAGAGGGAATTAAGCTCACTTTGGGTCAGCCCGTCTCTGTCCTTTCCTCCCACCAGCTTAAGGATTTAACTAATCCCCACCTCTCTTGCCAATCTAGCTCCCTCTAAACTACAACCCTTCTATGTCACATTCCTTGAAAACCCCTCGCTCACCCTTGATTCCTGCCCTCCTCTCAATCCAGCTTATCACCTCCCTTCCAGTGAACTGCTTACTCACTCACTTGTGCCTGCAAACTCTTCAGTAACTCTCCTACCGAGATCCCCTAATTTCCCAGATCCCCTACCAAACCCAACCCTAACTTGGTTTATGGATAGAAGTTTAACTCTTACCCCAACAGGGTCCCACAGGCCATAATATCTCTCACAGATGTCACTGAGTCAGGACCCCTACCACTTGGAACCATGTCACAAAAAGCCAAACTTGTGACACTCACCAGGGCCCTAATTTTAGCTAAGGATGACCTCTTCCTCCAGCATCCCTCCCCTCTACATGACTGTTTACCTGCCTTCACCCTTCTAAGGAAAATACTCAGAGAACATGTTGACTGGATTATTTCCCAGGCTTCTAAAGGCCAAACTGACCACCCACTTCAACCTGGAGATCACGCCTACCTGTGGGTTCACACCCAACAGAAAAGAGTGAACGAACCCCTCCAGCCATGTTGGTCCTCACCTGGTGATCCTGTCTACCCTGACAGCAGCCAAGCTCTCAGGACAACTTGGTTGGATTCATTTCTCCAAATTAAAACCAGCCAAGGAACACAGCAAGTACCAGGCCACCAGTATTGGGTCTCTTAAATTAAAAATCTTGAGAATACCTCCCTTGGCATCAATCGAGGAATGAGTTTTCTACTGACCCTGTGTCTATCCTTCCCTCTGAACCTCACCTCAGCCATTTCCCACTACACCTACCCACCATGTTTCTATAAATTTAAAATGAGACAAAGATAATAGATAATCTTAAAATCTCTAAGGTCACAGCTTAGTCAACTAGTCTAAGGATGTCTAGTCAAGGTTTATTTAAGGATGCTGCCCAAGCTCTATCTACGTAGCACATGCTAATTAAAAGTACCAGACTGGTGTAACTAACTTTGTTGGATGTTTAATAGCCAAACTTTAAGGCCTATATTAATCTGGTCAGAGGGACTTAAAGGGACAAATTTTTATTCCTTTCCCTCCAAGGTCAAACAAAGTCCAGGGGCTATGGAGCATCTCTCAAAATGTCCTGTAACTTTGGTGAGTCACCTGTTCTCTTGTTCAGGGAGGCCGTGGAGACCCCAGAAGATGGACTTGAATCAGTATCCAGTCTGAAAAGAGGAGGCTCAAGGGATTATAAAACTCAGACATTAGACGTAAGTTCTTATGTTATTTAGACAAGTATCTCTCATTGATGATTTTGTTCCTAGTAAGACAATGCTACTCAGATGTAAGACTTCAAATCTTGGTCTACATTACTGTAGTGCCCACCTACAGCTAAGGGAAGTAACCCACTATTGTTCTAACCAAAAAAAATTAAATGATGGCTAAATTTGTTTTCTCTCCCTATCTAGAAGCCATTGAGAGGTAACTGACATGGATTCTAGCCACTCCAACAGCTATCAAAATACCTGAAAATAAACCCCAAGTCCATCACTCTCGAGTTCAGCCCTGGCAGAAGAAACTAAAAATGAAAAATGAGCTATTACCCTGGTGCTAACCGTTGCTCCTTGCCTCTTCAGATATTTTCAGGACCAAAATCCAAAAACTAACTCTTACTCTCATACTAATTTTAATCAATTGTTACTTTCCTTCCTTCCACATATATATAAGTGCCTGTCAACCATGGAGGACCCTGCTGAGATGCATGAAGAGGGAACCCCTGCTATCTGATTGACCGCTAATCCAGCCCTCCCCACGTTGACCCTGTCCAGCAGGAAGTAGCAAGATGACAATGGTGCCCCCATCCTATAACACAAAAGGCTGGAATGTTAAGGTTCAGATAGCCATGCCCCCTCCCAACAGGGCCTCAAGGAGGACCTCACAAGCTGCTGAGAAAAGGGAACCGAGCTGATAAGCACCCTGGTCTTTGGAGTCAAGAGAAGAGATTTTTCTGTGCTGTTTGGCCAACAAAGCAGGCTTCCCCTTTGATCTCTAAAGAGGGCAGGTTTTAACAGTCCCACTCTCCTGCTCCCCCCCCCGCCCACCTTTAAAAAATAATATATATCTTCCCACCTTCTGCATCCTCCCAGAAACCTCCCCCTTTAAAAGACCCCAGCTCATGACCCAGGGCAGACATTTTCCCTGCCTGGAAGGGAATTTGTCCCATGTGTTCCTTTGCTAAAATACTCTATTCCATGGAGTTTTATCTGTGTCCTGGTGCTTTCTCCAGATCAACCAGATTCATCCATGGCCTACTTTATCTAACAACAAGGAAGTCCTCTGTGCTTCTCACCAAAAGCTCACTTTGCTTAGCAGCACTGTCTTGAGAGTTTCACCAGATCCCATTGCCTGTCTTACTCATCCATTCTAGTTCTTGTGACTCTTTCTGCTATTGAACCTGCGTCCTGCTCTCTGACCAGCTTTGTGTACTAATGTGGTTTTGAATATGCTCTGCCTTCTTGCATTCTTTTCCTTCTCCTTTGGCATGGCAGCTGCAGAAGACAGGCACTGTACCCCAGCCCACACCACTGAGCAAGACATAGGGGAATTGATTCCAAGGGAAGTGGAGACTCATTTAAAATCATTTCTAGGTTTCCTTCCAACTCTAGTCTACTGCTATTACTTTTTTCCAGTTTTTTTCCTCCCGCATTCTTAAACTTTCCTTCCTCATTTGTAAACATAAATTTTCCTTCCTTAACTGAAACCCTGAAAAGAGATCAAACCATTTTCCAGTATATGATGTTATTAGTTCAACTTTCCTACCTAGTTTTTCCACTCTCATTTCCGTAACCCACAAACGACTGCATTTGTCTTTCACTTTATCTGAAGATGTGTGTTTCTGTAAGAAAAGGACTCTTATCCCTCTGCTTTCCCCACAAGTCGTATGTGTAACCTCACCATGTCCCATTGAGTTGTTTATGCCTTACCTGTAGTCCTGTAAGGACAGTCTCCCAGCTCAGCTCTGTCTTGCCAGTTCACTCTGGCAGAGCTCACTGGACATGAGCTTCATATTGCTTCTGCTTCTGCAGGAAAGGGGACCAGCTGCCCAATGGGACAGTTCTTTCTGATGTCAAAAAGAGAGTATAATATTTCTGATTCAACCAGGCCGTGTTCTAGGGGGCAGTTAGAACCAGTAGATGGAAATATAGAGTTCTGAGCCCCAGAAGGATCTTTGAATACATCTTCAGAGAATTGAGCTGGGAAAGTGTGGTAGCATAACACTCATCTACTGTTATTACTTCACAGCACAGCTTTTCTGAATACCTGCTTTGCCCCAGGGCTTAGAAATTAGAAAGGAAAAATGATTCTAAGTAAAAGAGAATCAACTCTTATGCATGTCTTTGAATGCTGGAGAACGTGAATTCACATGGTCAGTGCTGGCAGGGGAAGGGGATTGGCTCTCTGAGGAGGCCTGTGCTAGATGAGAGAGTGTGGGCAAGTTAGATCAGTTCTCCACAGTATCTATGAATGCAAAGGGCCAACCACAGTTTGAAACAGAGCAGATTCATAAAATGCTCTTTGAATTGCTTCCCTGGGTAGTCTTTGTAGAAATTGTGGGACAGTTACTCATTCATCTTGTGTGGTATTCAGCCACAGCATCTCCAAATTCCTTGCTATCTGAGTGATTCTTTGCTATTCTGGGCTCTCTCCAAGAGGACAGCCTCATGACTTCCCATGATACCAATTCCTTTGGACCATCATCACTGAACATTTTCTTTTCACTGCTCTATCACTTCTCTTTGTGTACCTTTCTTTGCAATTCTTTTCCTCATTCTCTATCCTATAACTGAGATGCTAAGCTTCCATTTCATGATTTCTCATTCTGTTTACCAGGAATATTGAAGAATTCTCCAGTGACTTTGCTCACTTCTCATTAATAACTTCATCATCAGCTTGTTTCTACCATCTAAGTATAGCACAATCTCATGTGTACCATTGTGATCTCCTGGGGGGAAAAAAAGCCCTATTTTTTAGGGATCTTGTAGTAGAAAATGTGAATGTCTCCTTTATTTGGGAAAGTCATGATGTCTTCATTAAAATTTAGAGTTGAACCTGGCATGAATAGGAAGAATTTAAGAATAGAAAACTGGGTCTCCTTAAATTGTGAACCAGCCGCAGAAGTGTTTTGCCAGGCACAAATGTAGCAAAGGTAGAATCCATAGGACACATCTATGTCGAGACCTCCACTAATGATCCAACTCTCCCTACTTTCTAAATGACATACATTTGGAATCTTAATTTTGATCACATTTACTCGAAGCAGGAGTCACTATCTAGATTTTGTGCAGTACTTCAAACTTACTCGTTGAAAGCATACTCTAAAGATATTCAAACTGTTGGAATTATCTATTACACTGCCTTATTTCTGGTATTGTGATGCTTATAGTTTTGAGAAGGAACATACACATTTAATAAATAGAAAATATTTATTATGATACAGCATTATCAAGATTATTTGACAAAAGGCAGTAACAAGCTAAAGGAAAACACATTTCCAAGAAGCAGAACACCTTGTATAAGCACGCACATTACAGTGAACAGATTTTGCCCTTTAGGTACAGGGTATTTATGTGTACATCTCCAATTCGGAACAATTATGATATGAGATAATAGTCTATTTATACCAGGACACTCATAATCATGATAATAGTAGCATTCATTAATATTGTAATCGGTGTTGAATGTGTTCACCAAATGTCTTAGACCAAAACCCCAGAACAAACTCAACTGTTGCATCATTATATAGGAAACATTTCCTTATCCATTCTGGCTTCAAAAATATATGAATTCACAAGTCCTGTAATAATGAAGGCCATATGTTAGTGACATTAATTTTAAAATAATGTAGGACATAGCTTGTGTTCTCCTTCCAGTTTGCCAATTAGTAGAGCTCCATCTACTAGGTACTGAACTATCTACTTTTCTCGTTCTGTTTCATCACAATGAAAATATCATCACAATGAAAATATGGAACTGAACATTTCAGTTCCTGAGGTTTTTGTAATAACAGTGTTTAAAATATTTCTTTAATAAAATGTAGTTTATTCTTGGTCTAGAACTCACCAAATTGCCAGAACATAGCAAAACCTAAGAATCAACTCTCTGATGTTGGAGTTTATGTTAAATTCTGAGCAAATGATGTCATGAGTAGATTCTAAGATGATTTTTTTAAACTAAGAAATCAGTAGCTCCAACATGAAAGAAGCAAATCAAATATGACTGAACATAAGACATAAATGATGATCTTTAAAGGAAGAGGATTCATTCAACAAATAACAGAAGAAAAATCAAGAAAAATTCCACTTTGGATAAAAATAATCAAGGAGTCACTGGATCACATGTCCATGGATATCACATAGCAGCAAATGAGAGAATTATAAAGAAAATTAATAACAAAAATAGAGGAATAGAGTATATGACAATAAGAAGGCAGAGTGTGAGTGATGAACAGATGGTTGAGAAATAATGGCTGAATTTGTATATTATTGTAAACTAGCAGACCATAAACCTCAAGCAACTGTGGGGAAAAAAATCTAAAACAACCTGAAATAATATAAATATTTCCTTTTCAATCTTACATTTCAATAACAATGTACACCAGCTTATAAAATGTACTTTTTATTGTAACTCACTGTTTTATGACATTTTATATAGCAAATTTCAAATTACTTCATTAATGACATTCCCACATCATAAACTATCTGAAAAATAAGTTCCCTCCTAGAAGAAGAGTTTCCATCTGAGCTGCATATGAAAACCATCAGACCATAGTACCCAAACCTTCAGAGAGCTCTTATGGACATTGGCAACAGTGCTATAGAAAACATTATTGGAACATAAAAATATTTATACTATATCTGAAAGACAATTTTCTAGCTGCAGCTGGACCAACATGACATGGCAGGAATTTTATAAGCACATGTGCACAAGGACACAGGGTAATACATTTACTTCTAGAGGGGACTCCAGGGACAACAGGAAAGGATTTTAACCATTAATAGTTGCTATGAGTACATCATTAGGCTCAAAGATAGATTTGTTTCTGTTGTACATAGGAGAAACAATGGCACCACATTGTACATATACTGAATCTTAGAAGTCCAACTGGTTGGTTTTATTTGCTACAGTAAATGAAGGTAACACTCAGCCACATGGCTTGTACTCGTTCATAAAGGGCAATGGAGAACCTATTTGGCACAAATGCAAGCGAGTCCACGAAAATCTGCCACTTGTTATTGGCTTTTTTTCTAGTTACCAATAAGCAAGCATAGAGTCTGGGAAGCTGGGTCTCCTGACTTGACTTTACTCAAGGACCCATGTGTATGCATGGTCTTCCTTTTCCCTGGAGCACTTCCACTGAAACACATTTTGGAGATGATTTTGCTCCTACTCCTGTTTTTCTTTTTTAAACAGAGGGAAACGGTAGAAACTCAAGGTGTTCTGTGCCTTCCTCCCGCAGTGACCATAGGCTGGCACTGGACCTCAGCAGTGAAGAGGGGCCCCTGGAGGTCAGGTTCCCAGTCTCCCTTTAGGCCGGGAATCTGCTGGCCCAGCAAAGAGAAGAACTTTTGAAATAGGAGCTGTTGTCCCATCCTTGTCCCCACATCCTGCCCTCTCTTTCATCCACCTGGTAGTCTGACTCCACCTGCTCAGCATGAATGTTATGACATGAATTAATGATTCAAATGGCACCACCAGTGCAGCTGCCCAGTTTCCAGCTTCACCAGGGGGGTGTGGACTCATATGCGTAGGAGAGATTATTTTTGTTTATTTTTTAATTATTTTTTTGTGATAAAAGTTACATACCATATGGAGTTGTGCTTTGTCGTTTTTCCCTTTCTTCCTAAGGAGGAATTCTGAATAATTCAAGAGTCACAGTCCTGGCCTGGACCACTGGAAGATGCTAAGCAAGCATCTTCCCTCTTCCTCCTTAAGGCAACAGTAGCATTCACCCTCCTCTGCAGGCTGTGTGGTTCTCCACTCCCATGCTTCTGGCTTTCTGTGCATTTCCAGGGGGGTGGAAGCTCCCTGGTCTCTAGCTCCATGCATTCACTTCCTCCCTTACAGGGTAGAAGAGCTTTGCTTGTAGTCCCTCAAGATGACAGAGGCGTAGGACACATTGGGAGGGGTGCAGAGTACCGACTCAGACACAGGGGAGCTGGGCACTGAGCTGCCAGAGGCCACCGAGTCTCGGAAAGGCGAAGGAGGCGTCAGGGCGGGTGAATCCTCTGGGGTCAGCTTGCTGGCGGCGGGCAAGTTCTCCTCCTCGTCTTCCAGTTCGTCTTCCTCTGTGTTACCTTCGCGCTCGTACACAAACTCCTGCAGGAGCTTGAACCTCTCGCTGTCATCATCGTCATCCTCACCAGATGGGGAGATGGGCTCTTCCCGAAAGGTGCTCAGCTGCAGGGGCAGCATCTGCAGGTGCTGGGGGGGTGGCGGGGGCGGGTACAGCGAGCGCAACCCGTTCCCCTGTACCCCAGGACCTGCCAACACTGCGTGGAAGTCTGGGATGTCGGTGCTGAAGTTGTTGACCACTCCCTGCAGCTGGTCCATCAGGGCTTTGGGCTGCTGCTGCGGCTGCTGCTGCTGCTGCTGCTGTTGCTGCGGAAGAGGAGGGGGCAAGCCCTTGGGGATGGCTGGGTCTGCCAGGAACAGTGGGGTCTCCTCTGCAGTTAGGTGTGGTGGCAGGGGTGGTGTGGTGATCGCAGGTGGCCCGCGTCTGTGCATCACCATGGAAGGGCTTCCAGGAGGACTGAAGCGAGCTGGAAGGGCATCGTCCTCCTCCTCCACATTGTAAAGGGTCTTGGTGCTGGCGTCTGAAAAGGTCAGGCTCTTACCAGAGCCTTGGTAACTTTTAGTGAGGGGCTTGATCACAGCTGTTTGGTTGCACGCGGTCTCGTTGGTCTTCACGTGCACAGAGAGGCGCTGCCACACGTGCTGCCCTTTGGGTGCTTGTCTTCCACCTGGTTCAGACCATGACACAGACTTGCCGTTAGAACTGTGAATAAAACAGAGATAGGTTTATTTACAGACGGATCACAAGAAGAGGATAAAATAGATCTAAAACCTGCCAACTCCAATTTAGTACAATATAGCTGCACCCTACACCTCCCCATCTTCCCCTTACTTATAAATGAAACACCCCAACTGGCAGCTACCACAGGCTGCCCAGGAAGATAGAGCCAGGACATTCTACCCACACCAAGGAAAGACTGCTGACCCTAGAAAAGTGGTTGTTGATGAGGTAACCAATCTGTTGTGGAAACACCTGTTTTCATTTAGGTCACAATTTCACAAAGTACACCCTTTATTACCTACCCCACACATATTAATAAGACTGTCCCAATAATAACAATTAATAAAAATGTTAATAAATATTAAAATGCCTCTTTACTGGAAGACTCTGAATGATTCCCAAACTGATGGAAGAAAAAAAAAAAGTTTCAAATAGACAGCAGAGCATAGAGACTTAGTCTTCAGGACAAGTTAAGAGCCACATATCAGGCTACTCTGATTGGACTGTGGGATTCATGAAATTGAATGTCAGCTGCCAATTCTGATATGTATTTCCTGTTAATAACAGGAGCATAACTAGGACTCCTCTTCAAAGGAGGCAAGATCAGATGATGGCAAATCGGATACCTGGGTGCTGGAAGGGTTTCATAATTGTCCATTTTCTTTTTTTTTAATCTCAAAACATTATTCCTGTCACATACAATGCATGGCTTTTCACCCAGATTCTCAGCAGCTGGTTGGGAATTTCACCCTGGGAATACTCAAAGAGGTGTGTTCAAAAAGAGATAAGAATGGGGAAGCCCAACAATTACCTTGCTCACATCTTGTATTAATCTTCCAGTGGATTTTGATGCAAATGAGACAAAATTAAGATTCAAACAAAGCAGTAGTCAAGGAGGAAAGACCCCTGCCTGGAACTTTCTTCATTAACCTTGGTAAAGAAAAATTCTAGAACACTATCATTGTCTCAACTGTTAGGGCTTGGATCTGAATTGTCCCCCAAAGGCTCTTGCACTGAATATTTAGTCTCTAGTGCAACAGTGTTTAGGGGTGAGACCGCTTGAGGTAAGTGAACTAGGAGAGCTCTAACCTCATAAAATGATTGGTACATTATGGATTCACAGCTTATGGTTTTGTGAGAGGAGCTTTGTGATAGAGACCAACTTTCTCTTTGCTTCCTGGACATCACTAAGTGAACAGCTTTGATCTGACACATACTGTGTACCATGACATTGCACCTTGGACCAGGTCCAGAAGCAAACAGCACCAAGTGAGCATGGCCTGAAAACTCCAACTGAAATAAACCTTTCCTTCATTTTTTTCAGATACTTTGCCACCATGATGCAAAGTCAACACATCATCTTTCAGCTTCATGAAATACAAGCAAACCAGCCCAGTAGAAAGTCATTCTGAAGAAGAAATGAAATGCTCCATGTGCCACCACAAATTCTATTTAGCATATTGCAATAACTCAAGTCCTGTTTTTGGAGACCCAACTTATTTTCTATATAACTTTGAGCAGATGGTGGTACCTTAGCACAGCATTCTATTAATAAAAATAGTGCTAATACCTAAAAAGAAGTCATTTTCTTCTTTTTTTCCCTAGGAGTTTGATTTTTCTTTGTACCCATTAAAGCAACAGAGAAAGGAGCACAATGAGAACATAGTTGTGACATTTTTTAAATATTGGAAAATGGAGGCTGGAGAGATGGCTCAGTGCTTAAGAGCACCAGCACTGTCTGCTCTTGCAGAGGACCTGGGTTTGGTTCCCAGCACCCACATGGTGGATTACAACTGTCTATAACTCCAGTTCCAGGGGATCCAACACCCTCTTCTGGCCTCTGTGGGCATTGCATACATAGGTCCAGTATTTACTTATATGCAAGCAAAACACTCATACATGTAAAATAAAATAAAAGTAAGCCAGGCATGGTGGCACTTGCCTTTAAATTGCAGCACTTGGGAAGCAGACATAGGTTGATGTTTGTGAGATCAAGGCCAGTTTGGGCTCTATAGCAATTCCAGGCAGCTGGGGCTACAAGGAGACTGTCTCAAAAAATTTTTTTTTTAATTGGAAAATGAACATTTTTTTCCTTAGGTAGAGGTATGAAATAGGCTACTCCATACCCTAGTCTTTTGTTTGGAAAAAAACAGAAAAGGATTATTAAAACAAAGATTTATTTAATCATTTGAAAACACATTTTAAACATTTTGGAGAATGAATGCTTCAAAAATTACATGTGATTTAATATTTATGGTGTGAATAATGTTTGACTTTTAATAGTTTTTAATCCTGAAATATGAAGTGAGTTAATAAGCTGATATTCACTTAGAAAATCTGATACTAAGTATAAAAGGCCCTGAATAGGGGGCTGGAGAGATGGTTCAGTGGTTAAGAACATTGGCTGTTCTTGCAGAAGACCCAGGTTCAAATCCTAGCACCCACATGGCAGTTAACAACTGTCTGTAACTCTAGTTCCAGGGGATGTGACAGCCTCTTCTGTCCTCTGCAGGCATTGCATGACATAGGTGCACTTACCTACATGCAGGCAATACACACATACACATAAAAATAATAAATAAAATATTTTTAAAGCCCTGAATATAAAGGCTCTAAAATAGATATGACAGTTAAAATGGTGACCTCATTATTTGGGGAAAAAGTAGTTTCTTCATATGTCTAATTGTCTAAGAAAAGTGTCATCTTCAAAAGCACTGTATCATGGGGGCTGGAGAGATGGCTCAGTGGTTAAGAGCGCTGTCTGCTCTTGTGGAGGACCCAGGTTCTATTCCCTGCACCCACATAGTAGCTAACAACAATCTGTATCTCCAATTCCAGGGGAATCTGACACCCTCTTCTGACCTCTGAGGGCACTGCATGACATGGGTGTGCCCACATACATGCAGACAATACACTCATACACATAAAATAAAAAATAAATAAAATACTAAAAAACAAAGTATTATGTCATAATATTTCTATAAAATATATCCTTAACATATTACCTGAAAAATAAGTGTTCATAAATGATGATTTTCTTTAATTTATGGGCTTCCATACCGCCTTGTTGAAATAGGAAATTCTCTTTTCTGACTTGAACAAATTAAAGAATAAGTTGGTGGTAACTCCAGTAAAAACACAGCCAACCATACAATCAAAGGAAAAACCAGAATGCACAGTTCCTCCTTGGGGTTAAAACCCTAGGTAAGCCCCCACTTACCTCTGACTTAACTGCCCACATAACCACTGAACATAAAATGTTTCCCTCTTTATATATTCAATATGCTCTTCTACAAACTATCAGACCACCTTTCTGCCTCTTAGCTTCTTTAAATATACCTTACTAACCCCCAAACCCAGTAATCTGCATTGCTTTCAGTTCCAATGGGAAAATATTTTTCTCTCTCAAATTCTTGCCCCATAATGTTATCAATGAACTTACTAAACTAAAATGCTCTCTGTGTATTAAGTGTGTGTGTGTGTGTGTGTGTGTGTGTGTGTTATAAATTAAACACTACAGACTGTACTTAATAGCTTTAGTTGTCAAATTGACACACCTGGGTAGAGGGGGCCTCATTGAGGAGTTTCCTCCATTGAACAGGCCTGTGGCTATGTCACTGGGGTATTTTCTTGATGGTTGAGTGATGTGTGAGGGCAGAGCCTACTGTGAGTGGTTCCACAACCGGGAAGGTGGTCTTGTGTTCTATAAGAAAGCAGGCCAGAGAGAAAGCCAGTAAAAGCATTCATCCACCGCCCGTACTTCAGCTCCTGTCTCCAGGTTCCTACCCTGGAAACCTACCTTGGGCTCCCTCAGTGATGAACTGTGACTCAGGAGCTGTAAGATGAAATAGACTCTTTCCTCAACAAGCTGATTTTGGTCACTATTTTTATCACAGCAGTGTAATGTAACTAAAACATAAATAAACATTTCTCAGTGTCCCCATAGATCAGCTGAGGCGCATCCTTCCATGGAATGCTCTAAGTTGGGTCTACCTGCTTCACTCAGAGCATGAGCTACTGTTGTCATGGCTTGGGCTCCATGCATGCCTCGTTTTAAATCATGCCTATGTGCTGACAGTATTATTGATGATCAAGCGGGCAGATGTAATCACAATTTAGTTCACTTTTAATCGAATACAGTTTTTATTCTTACTGTCAAAATTATCTGCTCTCCTTCCCTCAGAGTCTTGCTCTAGATTTGCTGCACAGTCGTGTTTAATTAGGAAACAGATCTCCTGCCCCAGGGCATTTGTTGATTTACCAAAAATTAGACTAACCTCTTTTTTAATGGATAAAATAAATTGCATCTTAAAAACCAGAGATAGTAGGGGAAATGCATTATTTGCATAAAAATCACAGCACAGGGTATAAACTTTGGTCCTTCAGGATCAGCCATTTCTCACCTGTGGTACAGCCACAACCTGAATGATCCATGGGCCCAAATGTTCATTAAACATTGTTTTTAGACTGAATTAATGTTTTTTTAAGACAATGTACCTCTGTCTTAAATGCACGTGGATGGTATTGTGATAAAATAAATACAAAAGCAATTGGATTTGGAGAAGCTTCCAATCTGTTCTGTAGTCCAGTGAATACAAATAAAGGCAATTATAGTCCTTGATTCAGGTAAAGACTCAGTAGTGTTCTACTATGAAAAGGAGCAAGCAGCCTATCTGAAAAGGTTAGAAACCCATTGATTTTAAAAAGAGAAATATGGGAGCTGGAGAGATGGCTCAGCAATTAAGAGCACTGGCTTCTCTTGCAGAGGACCTGAGCTCAATCCCCAGCACCCAAAAGGCAGCTAACAATCCTCTGTAACTCCAGTTCCAGGGGAATCCAACACCCTCTTCTGACCTCCTCAGGCATTGCACAATGTGGCTGCACTTACACACATGCAGGCAATATACTCATACATAAAAATAATAAATAAAATATTAAAAAATAAGAAAAAAACATGAAATATAGGGCATCACCAAAGAATG